CGGGGGGCGGGACGCCGGGGCGGGAGGCCGGGGGGCGGGGCGGCCGGGGGCCGGGGCGCGGGGCGGGAGGCGGCGAGGAAGCGGGGGGTTGGGGACGGGAAACTTCCCTCCCGCGCGACGGAGGAAGGGAGTGCGGGCTGGGATCGAGGGCCCCCCTCCAACCCTCACTTCTACGGTTTGAAATTGGGTTTGAGGGTTGGACCCTTACCTTTTTTTAGGGTTTGAGGGTTTAGGGGTTCTAGTCTTTGCGTTTTTTTGTTGCAACCCGCAAAAAAAAATTATTTTTTAAGGGTTTAAGGGTTTAGGGGTACTACTAGTAATGCTCTAAACTGCGTCAAAGTCCGGCAGAACAGATCCAAACCCAAAAGGACTTTACTTTTCGAAAACGCCGATTGGACGGGAATGGAATGAACAGACGGCCGCTGGTAGCTGTGGGACTGCATCACCAGGAGACGTGTACATTAAAACCCCTGCTAGCCCCCCTGTGTGAACACGAGGGAACACGGCGAGGCCCCGCTTCAGGACCCATCTGACTCGGCCCAGATTGGACTGAAAATCAAAATTCCATTAAAAAATGAATTGCAAAGGTCATTCTTATTTTTTTAAACGCGCCGCACCGATGTCAAGTCTAGGAGGGGATATCACTATTCTACCAACCATCCAACGTTGGTTCGCCACCCTCGCCTTTGTTGATGGTGACAAATGAAACATTGTATGTGCGTCACTTGTCACAACCAGCGAACTTTAGCGAGACTTATTCTCACGTGCAAAAAAGAAATTGAGTATATTCTCACTAAAGTTCGTTGGTTGTGAGAATAAATCTCACAACGCTCGATTTATTGTCACTAAAACGATATGGTATGTCTTAAACCATGTGTTTAAATCATGTTTTCACCGTCCATTCCTTACGTTGAGATCTTCAAAATTAGATCACATGTTAATTTAATTTTTTTTGTGTGAAATTATTCTTTTGAAGTGAACTAACATGTTATTCCAAATTGTACTAACCAATGCTCCCAAATGAAACAAAATTGTCCTTCAAGGAAGCAAACATGTTTTCTATCTTTTTGGTTTTTCTCTGGAAAATGTTATGTGTGTATTTTTAAAAAGTTTCGTGTGTAATAAAAATATTCAATGTATATTAGACATAGTTCAATTTGCATTAAAAAATCATCTTATGTTAAAAGAGTTCATCGTATGTAGAAAAATGATCTACAATGGATCTTAGAAAATTGTTTAGCGACTAATTCAAAATAAATGTTCACAATGTACTGAAAAAGTGTTTGTAGTATATAGGAAACTGAAAGAAAAATAACCATAACAACAAAATGAAAAACTACGAGAATGGCATTTCTTTCCAACCGGGAGGAATTGGTGTGTTTGTTTTTAGATTCGTCTTTCAAAATGAAATATCTCGTGAATCGTGTATCCAAATTACAAATCATTTCCACCGTTACATTTCTTACGTCGAGATCTTCGAACTAGATCCATTTCTGACATTTTGGACCTCCGGCCCAATAAACCGAAATGGAGGGAGTACTTAGTGACATATTGTGAGTTTAGAAATGAAAAAATTTCGATTTAGATTAGAAATCTAATATTTGTGTTGTCTAACCTTGAATAATTAAAAATACGAAGAAAAACAAAGTTTTCTAAGAAAGAATGAATAAGTCCCCTTGTTATTACCCTTAAAGAAAAAAGAAAAATACTAAAGAAAAACAAACAGTGAAAAAACTTGGACAAGTTTACATAGAAAATGTGCTTTTTACAACGTACATGAATACGCATATAATAGGGAGATTTTTGCAAAAAGAAGTTTTCTAATAAGGAATGAATTTGTCACATTTATTACATTAAAAAAGAACATAAAACAAAAACTAACATTTTTCATAATAATGATGTTTTCTAAGAAAGAATATATTTGTGGTATTTGTATTACCCTTTAAGAAGAAATAGAATCAATACATAAATAACGATAAATTTTGCCCGAAACTTACATAGAAATTGCGATTTTTTTAATATGCAAGTATAATAATATAATACTGGAATTTTTACAAAATAAAGTAGTTTGCTAAGAAAGAACGAATTGATGACATGGATATTGCAAAAATAATTATATTTTCTAAAGAAGAATGAATTACTAGCATTGCTATTACCCTTTAAGAATAAAGAAACTAAACTCTTCTAAAACAAATGATGAAAAAATTCGCACACAATTTACACAAAAATACATTTTTTATAATATGCATGAAGAAGCATATAATAATGAATTTGTTTCTGCAAAAATAAGTTTCCTAAGAAGGAAATGATTAGTGATATTGGTATTACCTTAAATAAGGGAGGAAATGAAACAAAAATTAGAACAAATCTAAATAATCAAGTTTCTAAGAAATAATTAATCATTGGCTTTGCCATTACACATCAAGAAAAAAGAAATTAAAAAAGTAAAAAATAAATCAAATATTAAGTTTTCTAAGAAAAATAATTAGTTATATTGGAATTACCCTTTACTAAAAGTAAAATAAACAAATACATAATCGATAAAATGGCAAAATTTGCGCACAATATACAAAAATAATAATATGCAATTATAAACATATAATTGTGGAATTTTTGCAAAATAAATTGTTTAAGAAGTAATGAATTAGTGGCATTGATATTACCCTTTAAGTAGAAAGGGAATAAAATAAAAACTAAAGAGAATCAAATAATAAAGTTTGCAAGAAATAATAAATTAGTGACTTGAAAGAACATAAATTAAAAAACAAAATAAATTTTTTTCTAAGAAATTAATTAGTGACATTGGTTTCACCCTTTAAGAAAAAAAATACAATACAAACAATGACAAAAATTGCACAATATACAAAAAATATGCAAAAATAAGCATATAATAGTGGATTTTCATAAAAAATATGTTTCCTAACAGACAATAAATTAGCGGCATTTGTGTTAACCTTAAAGAAGAAATAAAATAAAATAAAAACTAAAGAATAATCAAAATAATGAAGTTTTATAAGGAAGAATGAATTGGTGGCATTTGTATTACCTTTCAAGAAAAAATAAAAAAAATTCTTACACACAACTTTGCACTGAAATTGCGCATTTTCTGGCATGCAAAAAGTAATCATACAACACTTCAATTTTCACTCAAATTGTATACTTTTTGTATTTACACATTTACACTCACCCAACATCGCAATAATACCCACAATAAAATAAAATAAAACCAACTAATGAAATGGGAGGGAGGACTTTATTCAGTGACTCCGTGATCGCCCACTAAACGATCAAAATAATGTAAAGCTTGAAGATTAAAACACACAAGAACTGGAAAAAAAACGGAGAGACGGGAAGGTTGGGTCGTCAGACGGGCTAGATAGAGCCTGCTTGTTCGCCCGGGTAAAGCCCATTAATTATATGACTGGTCCAAAACAAAGGTCAGACAAATATTCCAGCCGAAACAAGACACACCACTCAAGCCCTGTTTACCCCTAAAAAAAATCAGGCCCTGTATCTTGCCGGTTTAGAATACACACATCGTCCCGTCGTTTTCCTTCTAGGCAAAAAAAAAAAAACAAGTGTTGACCAGTAATTTACATCTGTAGAATAAATACAAGCGCACAAATTTACATCCATTTCAAGCGGGGTCTCAACGGAAAAGGAAGGGAGTACATCTTGAGACAACAATCAACGGTTAGAAAAGCGAGTCACCCAAATTCAATTTTGTGGCAATACGTTTAACTAAAGTGAATACTTATGACAACAGATGATTGGCAAACTCTTAGACTAGTTGTAATGGGGAATATCATATATTACTTCCTCCGTAAACTAATATAAGAGCATTTAGATCACTACTTTAGTGATCTAAACGCTCTTATATTAGTTTACAGAGGGAGTAGTATCATGCATATGATACTAGTGTATGATACTATCTTCCTAATGCATAGTATCATATTTTAGTATTATGTAGTACTTTATTTATTGTCATGCATGACACAAAGTTGCATAGCATTTATTATGATACGGTATCATGATATGATACTTCACCCTCTCTTTCTTCATTAATGTTAGGCCAACTTTACCGCGCGACCCCATCCTGTCCGGGCCTGTCCGTTTGGGGTAAAACGGACAAACTGGGCGGCCCAGCGCGCGGGAGCAAACAGACTTTTGTCCGTTATGTGTCCACTTTCGACCCATTCACGGCCCAAGTTTGCGCCGCTTTTGGGGTGAAACGGACACTAGCGGGCGTTCCTACCGTCTGCGCGTGTCCTTCCCTGGCCCGCCCGTCGGTGGCGCAGGACGGGCCTTTTTCTATCCGCCCCCCTCCCTCCCTCCGGTTAGCATCCCACTCCACTCTTCTCCACTCTTCCCCTCGCCGCCACCGCCGCCGTCGCTGCCATTGCAGTCGTGCAACTCGGACGCGCGCTCGCCCAGCCCCTTCCCCTCGTCGCCGCCGAGCTACCGCATCACGGCCACCTAGTTTGCGCACCCGCCGGTCAGATTTGGGACGGATCCGGTCGGTCTTGAGCTCGCCCGCTGTAGAAGGCCGGGCCACGCCATGGACTGGCCGGGCACCTCGCCGGAAGGCCCTGGCAGGGCCGCAAGGCCACATGCAGGCAGTGGCTCGTCCTCTAGCCGCTCGGATCTGCACCGTCGGTGGTCCGCCAGCAGATACGCGAATGGCGGCCGGCCGGGCTCGGTGCTTGCCCAAAAACTCGTCGGCGCACCGTTGCCCCTCATCAAGTGTGACCACTGCCCAAGGATGGTTGTGCGCCGCGTGTCTACAACGCCGGAGCATCCCGGATGGGTGTTCATCAAGTGCTTAAACGATGGGGTATGTGCTCTTTTTAGCTTCGGTTTGTGCTATCGGATTAGACTAGTTGTGCTAATTTTAAGTTTTATTGTGTAGAATGGATGCAAGTTTTGGTATTGGGAAGAAGAGTACATCGATATATTGATAGAGTGAAATCTAGTACATGTTCATGCACTTTTAGCTAGCCTAGAGGTTGTAGATGAGACAAGTGCACTTGTTGTTAGATTAGAGGCTAGGCATGATACTACGTGTGAGGAAGCAACGTCGACTTCTGGCTTGAAGAAGAAAGGAGGGTGCAACGTCGAGCCTCCTCCAAGATCAACAATGAGTGCATCGAGAAGGCCCTAACCCAACTCAAGGGAGCAGTTACGGAAGTTGGGTATCTTCCCAAATGTATTCTTGTGGTTCTTGTTTTCTTTGGCCTTACTTTACTAGTCAAAATGTGATGATGTATTGTCATGTATCAAAAATGAATGATGAAAGAAAGTTTAAGGACTTGCAAAGAAAAGTGCACGCGGACAAGATGCGTCCGGGATGCGTCCGCGCGCTGGGTGCACGGCCACCGCATCCCGGAAATTGCCCGGACACGACCCCATTGCCCACCCAAACGGATAGAATCCGGACAAAACAGATGTCCGTTTATGTTCGCGCGGTGGAGTTGGCTTTATGACACCTCATCAAAATTGCTTAGTTGGCATGCATGATACTACTCACCCTCTTAAAATATTAGAACGTTTTTGACACTATGATACTACCATTACGACCAGCCTTAAGCCTCAAGAACAAGCATGATTTGCAACCATGCAAAATCAACAGGTGCCAGCATAATCTGTATACGTAAATAGACTCGCAATTACTAGAAATCCAAGCCCAGTCCAACCACTGGATGGTCCAATTCACCCCCATCCTCTCCAGCCTCACCCGTTATAAATAGTGTGGATTCCTCAGTCCTCGCACTCCCCACATTCCCCTTCTCTCAGTCTCCACCACTTCACCCTCCCCTCCCCCGCAAGCATACACCTCAGGGAAGCGCAAATCCATGGAGTTCTACGTTGACGAGAAGTGGAAGTTCTCCAAGAAGAGCCGGAACAACGGCAGCTGCAGGCGCGTCTCCAGCGGCGGCGGCGGCGGCGGCGACCCGTTCCTCAAGAGGTCGGCCAGCACAAGGGACCAGGTGATCGGCCGGCGGGCGAGCGCCGCCGCGTCCGCCCCAGCGAGCGGGTGCGCGGCGCCTTCGTTCTCGAGCCGCTGCGCTGGGCTGGTGAAGGAGCAGCGGGCGCGCTTCTACATCATGCGCCGGTGCGTCACCATGCTCGTCTGCTGGAAGGACTGCTCGTAGCCATGGCCTCCCGCCGCCGCCGCGCTCAAGATCTCCCGCCCCCGCCCGCCGTTTCTCCCCCGGTTTAGCCACAGTACAGAAGCAAGAGATCGAGGATGTCGAGTAGGCGGCTAATTGGGTGATGTATGTACAGATCAGCCTCTTGCTAGGAGTCTTGTTTTTTCTTTCCTTTTTTTTCGTCCCATCTCTGGGATGGTTCTTGGAGAAACTACTAGTGCTTGATTAGTTAGTGATTAGTAGCAGAGTAGTTAGTGCTGCAACCTTAGAGGAGGTGGTGCTGTGGGCAAGTTTTGGGATCACCTTCTGAAGGAGATGGGGGATCTTGTTGTTGTTACAGCTGCTGCTGCAGAGCAGAGCAGAGGCTAGCTAGGAGAAATCTGAGACAGGGCTGGGCTAGCTAGGCCTAGCTGAAATCTAGTGGATCTTCTTCTTCTACTATTGTACTGCCAGTGCAAGGCTGGAAAGTTGTGACTACTGTATGATGTATAGGTAAAGAAATGAGACACAACAACATTCTGTGCTCCTCCTCCTCCTCCTCCTCGATCTTGTCATTTCTCATGGCCACGGGCCACCGCAAGGATGCTAATAAGTAGAGAGGCGCAAGTGGACATGAGAGGTATCAAATGGATGACGTGGTGGAGGAAGACGAAGAAGAGAAGAGTGGTGGTGAGGAGAGGAAGAGCGTTGCTTTGGGATCAGGGAGGGAGAAGGCGGCAGTAAATGGGGATGGTGACGGTGATGGCATCCTCTCCCTTGTCCTCACCCTTCTGGGACTGCCATTTCCGGCGTGGCCAACTGACGCCACTCCATTATTGCGCTTGCTGCCCCCGTCCCTCACCCTCAGCTTCGACATGCAGTACAGGCCCTCCACAGTTCACACACAAACGCAAAACAGAGTGACCCAGAGAAATATGCACAATCAGCCATGATGAGTGCCTCACTTGAGAGTAGGAGTAGCTAGGACGCTCTGATCTGAGGCCGGCCGATGCAGTTTCAAATTCCGTGTGCAATCACATTACGTCAGTGGAGTAGGCCTTG